GTTTCAACATTACAATGTCATCCTCAGGAGTTGCAACGTTGTAATGTCGAAACATGTAGTTATCGTCAACTTTTTGAAGGCCTAAATAAAAAGTGCCAAAATACTATAATTAGGTATTTACCTTTCTTATACAAAACTATTTCAATCTTCTTTCTGCCCTCTAAACATTACTAAAAAATGTTTGCACTCAATGGACTAGTCTATATATCCCCATCAAGTTTGCACCATTTTTTAACATGTACATATCATGTGACTACTCTCCATCAATAGTACTGCACCACCTATATTAGTACAGCTAGCTTAGTACCTATCAGAAATACATTTTCAGTGAAAATGTCAAATTGCTAAACGGTCATACCACCTGACAAAACACACAAGGAGCTGAGGTTAGTTTGAACGGCAGGACCCTGAACTGGAACACCTGAAATATGAATTTAGGCATCTCTCACATCGAACCTGGTCATCCAGAGTCCAGCAGAAAGTGCCAGAAAAAGAGAGTTTACATCTTCTTCCCCATGATGGTATTGTTCCTCAGACATATGTTCAGGTTGAAAAGGATAAGAAACTGCCAGCCAAACATATGACTCTAGCTCCCTGCAAATTAAAACCTGTACTTCCTCTTCAGATAAAGTTGAACCAAAGTACTGGGAATTCTTGCCATTTACACTGTCGACTGTCACAGTAATTTCTGTTTCCAACACATTGAACCTCGAATTCATACTAAGTTCACTTAGAATTTGGGGACAAGAAAAAAATTCAATTGTAAAATCATTGAAACAACTGAATTCAAACCCAGAAAAAAATTAAACTGTTGAAAAAAATTTATTAGAAATGGCAACAAAGCACAATCAGAAACTGTAGTCATATGCAAAAAAACATACATCTAAAGAATGTAGTGCCAATCGAGAAAATGAGGAGTGAGTGAGAATAGCAGAAGGAGTTAGCTGCGCCAATACAGGTGGTGCAATACTATCTGTAGAGAGTAGTCATATGATGTGTACATGCTCAAAAATGGCACAAAATTGATGGGGTATATAGAATAGTGTGCTGAACAAAAAAAAATTTTTTTCAATGCTTAGAGGGCAGAATGAAGATCAAGATAGCTTTGTATGGGTTGAGGTAAGACAATATCAGAAAATATGTATAACAATCATTTATTTTTTTCAAAGAAAAGTTAAATTCATTGCTCATGCAAGTGTATTTGTTTTCTTCCTTCTTTTATATAAACAAATCTTTTTTCCACTGTGTTTTTACCTATTTAATGACTTGCTTCCACATCACATCTTAAACCAAATTGTATCCAGGGTAGTAAAAACATTACCTTAGCATCTCAAGGGACCAGTAATTAAAATTTTAAACACAGAACTCTGAGTTCAATATAACATGATTTTGACCCATACTTTAACACTGGTTGTAGAACCTACTACAATATTACACTATTTAAAATGTAACTAACTAGAAATATGTTTTTCATTATAGTAAAAATATATTTTCAGTTGATACACTATTCAGCTAAATATAGCTAATATGTATCAAGGAATAAAGATTCTCTATAGCTATAGAAGATACCACATACGAAATATATGGTAAACACTCACAAATATTTGAAGTGTTAGACTGTATCGAACTGAAGGACACTTTAGATGATGGAACGCTGACCTGAATACGTGGCTGGGGAAGAAAGAAAAATTTATGCAAAGTTAATACAAATGAAACTACTGTATACTGGTGAGGTTGAAGTAAGAGATAAGATGCTCATAATTTATGATTAAAATATATTTACACTGTCCACCCAACTTGGACACATACACTTGAATATTCTTTCAAATAGAAAGTTTAAAACTTTATAATACAATAAATAATTAACATTAGAGATAGTAATTAGTAATTATAACTCATAATGTGTTGAAAAAAAGACTTTTATGGTGGAAGATAATACAGTTTTCTGATCCTGTCAAGATTTTACAAAGTTTAATATTCTATGAAAAGCTGTGTGTGATTATGATATTGTATTTTATTCTTAACAAGTGAGCTTTAGTACAAAACCAAACTTGTAAAATAATTTCTTAGTAACATTTATTAGGATATGCACATAAATAGAACTCTATAACAAAAAAATTTATTGCAAGTGGAATAAAAGATTACCCTCTTCTGTGATTTGGCTTGATAATTAGCTGTTGTTAAACAGTACCTATCAGGTGGAAGATGAACTCCAGTATTGGACTTGATCAAAGGCAGAGGTATGTTGTTTTTCTGCCTTGCTACTTCTAACAAAAGCTAGAACACAGAGAATACAAATGCTTGTAGTTACATCATTCAGTGCCATAATTTGCAAGTTCACAAAATTACAAAATTAATTTTGTCTGTCTTGTGTAGCTGACAGGTGTTAAATAATTTTAAGATATGAAAAAAAAAAAAATCAAACAGTTAACAACACTTACATCTCTTGGAGGTGGACAAGTAAAGGATTTGTCCATTTGCAACTGTACTGCAAGGCGAACATCATGAACATCAATGTTTTTCTTTTTGGCATGGGAAGAAAATAAACGAGCATCATCAAGCATTGTTGTAACATATCCTGAATAAAACATAAGAATCAGCATGATAATCCTCTCCAAAAACAGTGTCAACATACGGGAAAAAATGTTCAAGGCACAAATATTCTCTGAAATTAGAGAACCAAGTTTTAACGTTATGATTATCACTAATTCGCGAGACCTTGAAATTATGAAAGTGTTTCAAACTTGTGTTTGCACATGAAGGAAATTCATCACTTATATTTCTTCCTAAAATAACAGTCACATTTTTGTCACTTTGCATAAAATTCTTAACCAACATCTTAACAAAACTACATTACTTATTCAGTGATTTTTATTAATTAATGATTCATCCACCTTTGACACTACTATTGGCAACAGATTTGAAGAACAAAGCATAGAAACCTTAAGAATATACATATGAAATATGAATGGGCATCTCACACTTGTGTTTTCATGGTAAAATAAAAAACTCCATAAGTTTTTTATTCAAAGTAGCATAACACAGAACTTATTTGTAAGCCTTTCAATTGTATATTTTACCTTATAAAAAGGTTTTAATTTTTTATGAAAACTTCTTCAAAATGCTATTTGAAATACTATAGGTACATACAACATAGTAATGCTACAAGTAGTAGTAGGCCAAAGGTACACAAATATAAACTTTGGCAGGGTAGAAGTAATCCTCAACTTATACAATTTTACTATTCTAACAGTAACAGACTGGCTGGCCTTTGAAATTGGTTGCCTTCCTGATCAGGGTAGATTTTGTATTTGTGTACAATTACATGGATGGGACAGCATCGATGGAACAACATGCAGCAGGCCCTGTGTTTGTAAGTTTGTCATCCTTAAATGGTGTGTTATGCTTTTCTCCTTTAACTTCAGTTTGAAATAATGATTCCTTTTTACAATAACTTCAAGTTATATCACAAAAGACAAATATTGCGATAGTATTAGAAAAAATAGTTCGACTTGTCAACTAAGATTCCAAAGTAATTGAACAGGCCTAAGTGAACTTTTGACAAGAAGAGAACTATACATATACTGATATAATGTTTACGATACGCTTATAATTTTATATTCTCTATAGTGTGAACAGTGGATAAGCTTTTGAATTTTATAAAAGGCATCCCATGTTTGGCAATTAACATAATATTGTTATTAGTTAAACTGTCAAACTTAACGTTAATTGTTATTGTTAATCCATATGGGATAATATTATTAATTATATATATATATATTTAGCACATAGTAATAGAACTGTTACTGTTAACTACTACACACACACACACACACACACAAAAAAAAAGACATGTCGAAACTTACTGTAAGTAAATTCAAGCATTTGATTTATGACTCTTGGTTCATACTGTATTACTCCCATATCTTTTAAGATTGCGGCCATAACTTGAACATCTTTAGGGCCACTAGTAATATTGTTGCTACTACTACTGTTACTGAAATTAGTCTTGCTCGACGCCATGCTCCTACATAATCGTCAGCGTCCTCTATGAAAATTTAATTTAAATATCTTTCTTTTAATCTTTAGCAATTTAGACAGCGCTCCCTTTCGCTTGTCAAAAAAAATAAAATAAAATAAAATAAACGTGACAGGTATTTAGTTTAAGGATAGAAACTTTCCTGTTCAGATACAAATACAGACATTACAGTATGTTTTTATTGAACATTCAAAAGTTTTATTGAATTTCTGTATATATTAGCTACTACAAAGTATAAACACAAACATTTATTTATCTACAGTTCTATATGTGTCTTTTTCTTGTTTTTTTTATTTGCAAAGTCACAAATAATATAATCAAAATCGAGTTCACGAATGCATATCTGATTAGACTGACATAAAGCAGAGATCGTTCAATCTTGGTTGAAACTTGCAATTGTAGACCTTATTCTTAATATGTTTCCTCTTTGAAAAATATTTTTCACCTTTGCACTTTGTGACCATCATTGACAGTAATATTCGTAAAGCAATTTCAATATTAGGAAATGTTGCATCCATTTTGTTATGCTTTAATGTTGCATAAATATTGAAAAACGATTTATCTTCTTCTTTTGATATGTAATGCTTGAATTGCTGATACTCAGATATAATTTTTTCTTTCTCCAAATACATGTTATAAATTATAGCAAGCCTTTCACAATTGTCAGTAGTTTCAGGAGAGCCCGTATTATTTAGTTTCTGGAAGAATCAGAAGTGATTATTGATTTTTTTTGTATGCTTCAATTTGTTTTTCTAAATTAGAAGTCAGTAAGTCAATGGCTGGGAAGTACATTTCAACATTGAATTTAAGACTACCTTGAAGAACAGTGTCACTAACAGCTTCATCAAAAGAACTGTTACGGCAACTCCCTTTTTTTTTTTTTTTTTGACATTTACTAATGTCACTGTAATCACTATTGGCATATTTTGTTTTTGCTTTGCACTCACATTCTTCAAATTGGCTTCTGAATATATGACAATAACGACTGAATAATGTGGACAGCAACGGATAAGTTTAAATCCCCTTTTTGCAGAATTTTACTTTTTTCATTAAAACGGATAAAAATATCTTTCGAGAATATTGTTAAGAAAACTACCTCAAACTTGTTGATTTTCTTACTGAGATTTTCAGCATCATGTATTGTCTCTCTCTCTTGTTTGACTTGCATCTTTGATCAAAGAATAATCAAGAGCTATTTGAATCTCATCATAGCCATCATTTAAAGCTGTAATTGCATCGGCACGTACAAACTATCGAGTTCCAGATAGTTGTTTTACAATCTTATGATCACGGCCAATAGAAGAATCTAACACTTACAGACGATGAGCTGATTCATCAAAAGAGGTGTACAATCGCTACACAAAATCAAAATATGACACAGCGTGCAAACTTTACACTCCTGCAGTCCTGTCTCCAACAAGATTTAAGAAATGTCTAGTGCAGGGAACAAAAATATCCAATTTATTAATTTCTATTATATATTTTACGTAATCTAACCTTAACTAACCCAATAGGTTTCATGTTTTTACATTTTAATTACTTTTATAATAATAATAATAATAAAGATTACACATGAAAAACAAAAAACAAAGTACTTACAAGAGTCTTTTTTGTTGTTGTTGCTGTCAACTGTCAATGACACTTAACTCTACTTTTTTATAATAATGGTATTACTGTATTAAATAATGTTTTATTTAGTTAAATAATGCACCAAAGAACAAAAAAATAATAAAATACAAAAAGCAGACATTGGCTTTCAAACTATGCGACAAGAGACGTTAAACTCATCTAAGCTTCTAGATGTGTCTCCCTTGGGTATAAAGCTTGAACTGAAAGCAAAATTGGCAATTTTCTGTACTAAAAACAATGTAATATAATAAGTAATTTGAAAGAGTAAAACCGTGTCTTTTTGTTGGTTATAAATATTATAGTATTGAACATAAGAGAGAACTATTGGCAATTTCTAAAAGAGAGGATGTGACATGTGGACTGGGAAGAAGGGTCTGACTGTCTATTTCATAGCTCTATAACCAAATAAGATTGAAGGCTATAACAATTATGCTTTGCCTGAGCAATAACAACAATATAATGAGTAAGTTATGTTAAATCTTGCACTTCTTAGGGGGTTATAAACAAATTAGAGAAGAAGGGATGCCTAAAGAGAAAATGTCACAATTCTCATACTAGGGGAAATTCAAGATTTGTTTTTAATACTACCTTATAAAATTATGAACTTACAACTAATATACTGTTAAAATGTGGATTATTAGCTACGCTTTTATGCTATATTTATTGGTATACCGTGAAAAGAAAGTAATTTCACTTAAAGTTTGAATGTAACTGACTAAAACCTCTTAATGTAATCAGAAAAAAAGAATGCCCGTGGAGAGAGAGAGTGTGTTAATAGAAATTGGAATAAGATTTAAAATACAGTTTCATATTACTAAAACATACATAAAATTCCATGAAATTTATATATATGTATATATGTGTGTGTGTGTGTGTGTGGTTCAATATTGTAGTGTTAGAATTTTTGGTAGTGCAGTATAAATATTCTATCTTTCACTCTTACCTGTTAATATTAGCTATTTTTTATTGATAGAAATATTGAGAATGTTACTGTTACTCTTTGTAAGACTAATTTTATCTCATTTGGAGAATTGAATTGTTTTTAGTTTTAGTTTTATTTTAAAACAATACTGTTTTTTTGGGGGGGGAATGCAAAAAACCACAAGCAAAAAGGGTGTACAAGATATGACACAACGTGCAAACTGCACACTCCTGCAGCCCTGTCTCCAACAAGATTTAAGGAATGTCTAGTGCAGAGAACAAAAATAGCCAATTTCTTAATTTATTTAATTCTTGGCTGCAAACCAAAATAATGTCTAAGCCATACTTGATGCATCAACAAAAGACTGACCACGACTGCCTGATAATGAAATGCAAGTAGCTTAATATAACATCAGCTAAATATTCTGCTCTATGATCATGAATTGGGATAAACTGGAGAAATTGCTTAATTGGAGCTTGCTTTTTAACATATCAAACTATAAAGGTTATTTGATCGACATGGGAGTTGAGTCAACACTCAGTGAATAGTACTTCGCTTTTTCTGCTTCCAATATGATTTCAGATAATACCATCGCCCATGAGGTTGATAAAGTCTTCACGTATAATGGTAGAAAAGTATGAGGGATTTCCCTTACTAGCAATTCCATGTTTTTCAATGTGCTCTTTGAGGAATGGATCAAACTCGCTCAGCAACTCTAATGCTCCTAAATAATTGCCACTGTGCTGTGAACCTATGGGTCATTAATTCCACGAAATGCCAAACCTCTTGTTGCTAATAATTTCACAACAGTAACAACTCTTTTTAGAACATTTTGTCAGTAAATTCGCTCTTTGTGAAACTGTTTCAATAATGCTGAGTCCATTTGTTCAAGTTCGTTTTCTTTTAACAACTGCAGTAAATTAGCTTACACTTTCGATGTTCAGGGCCATTTTTATTTTCAGAAATTCGACTAACTGCATGCTTCCAATAGTCAAAACCCCTTGTGGAAAAAATCGAATTTGTAATAGAAAATTAGCTGGACTAAACCAATAAACTGAACCAGATGACGGTGAATATAATAACAATTATCGACAAACAAATTCACCATTATGCAATTCGTGTTTAAAAGCAGAATGCGACACATGCCTTTTCTGGGCTTTTTATAAAGCTTTTCGAAACTCTTGAAATCACAGTCATGATTCTGGCATGATGAAGGACCGTTACTAATCAAAAAAGAATGTAGCTCATTACTAATAGAATGCCACAATGCGGGATCAGTTGATGGATTTGTTTCAGTAAAAGTGCTTGTTGCGAACTGCGGTGCTTCCGATATTACATTGTGTTGATAATGATCCGCACGTTTCTAGAACTATCTTGTTCCTTCGTGAATGCCCTAGCATTTACTAGAT